AACATTCTGAAAATACTTACTACCACACTGAAAATTACTGAGATTAATATACTACTAGAACTTTGATAAAAACAACCTGAATTTCAGACTTATATCCAAAATGGCCGCTATAAATCTACTAATCTATTGCATTTGACAAGTCATTGTAAAAGAAATGTATTTGTGAATTGTAACTTTTTTTTTGCAAAACAAAAGCTGTATCTGCCAACGCATATAAAGCATTACAACACCTGTATTAAGTATGGCTGCCAGAATTTCAAAATGGCGACCATTTTATAAATATCTACCAATCGGATTTTTTGGATGAATCAGAAAAGTTGCATTTATATATGAAAACAACATTTTGCATCGTATCTAAAAATTGTTCGCTGAGAAAAAAATTATTTTGTTAATGTTCATATATATATTTGGCATGTGTACAGTGATTGGTATATAGGTATCAAGCTAGAATGCATTTCTGCATCTACAGTAGCTGTGGTGAATTTGATGAAGGAACGAGTGTCAAATTATTTTGATTCATAAGCAGGGGGAAAAAAGCCACCTTGATATTGATCAAACTCTGCTCTTTCATCAGGACAAATGTGTTCAAGACAAAAAATATTATTATGGAATAATTAGGATTCGAAAACTTAATTTACTCTTCTGGAAAGGAATTAAAATTGGCAGCCACATATAAAATTATCCCAACAATGACAATACATCATTCAAATGCATCCACCCAACTTGAAATGATAGAAATGTATATATATATATATATATACATATATCATTCATTCAACCTTCAGTGACATCAAACAATATTATACTAGCTGATCAACTTCACATCAATAATAATTGATGTTTCATTATCATAATGTTCAAATTATGACCATACATTCAATATGCTTGATTTTCTATCATTACATGTACACATATGCCATTTCATCGTTCTTCATTAATCATTGTCTTCGTCATCATAGGCATCATATTCTACATTGTCGTCTGATGATTGGTTGTCACAATCTTTCAGGCGACACATATCTGTGCACTTCAGATCATTCAACAAGTAAACACAAGAAGGCAATTTGCATGACCGTGAACACCAGCATGAGAGAAGATCCGAGACAGCTTCAGGGGCTGGCGAGCCTTTCATCCAGTCAATAGTAAGACGTTATTTGCCGTCGAACACTTCAAGCTTCCATCTATTTCCTCGTGGACTAGGACTTTGCAGGTCAGCTTGTAGACTTCTTTTCCAAATTGCTGCTTAGTAGTTGACTCGCAGTGAAAACTTAATGAGGTAATCCCGACACAGTGGTGACTGATGAGATTCGACCTCCCCCAAACTCGAACAAAACAAGCTGTATCACAAATCATCAATACTAGTCGTTGCTGGTTTTGTTGCATATAGCAAACAAACAAAGGTCTCCAGATTGCTTTGGAGTTCTGGTGTAACCATACAGTTTCTTTCAGTTCTATGAAGGCTTCCCTTACATCTTTGTTGGACTTCATGATCTCTAAGACACTAAGCTTTACTTTTCCAGCAAAGGCACTCACACTATTACATCCAATGAAAGTAGGAACCCGAATAAGAGCCTTGCATATTTCGGATCTAATTGCTGGGAACTTTTGCAATCGTGTGAGTGTTTGTATTCCACATTTCTGGAATAGAGACACACTGATGCGTTCACTAAACACAGTAGCAAAACATCCGTGTCTTCTGAGCTAATGGTATCTGATAGATGGTATGACCACCGGGTCAGAGGTTCCATCTATTTTGATTGCTAATCTGATAAGCGTTGAGGCTTGATTGATCCGTACTGTGTCTTGTGATGTGCTTGTACTTCGTTATTCAGTTTTCTGTTTCAAGATATGGCACTTTCACGCGAGATCAAACAGGGTTATGATATCAGAAATTAGCAAAAGCTTCCCTTTCTCGTCTGGAAAGATGTGCATGCTGCTTCCAAATTCGTTCTCTATTTTACGTTGAACGTGTTATTTTGTTGAACCCTTTATAGTGGCTATCCCTTTCGATTGCATTATCTTTACAAGCTTAGTTGTCAAACAGTGTAATGTTACCACGCCAGGTGCAGGTATCAACTCATTTCGCATGTATTCGAAAATATCAACATACGATTCATACTCAATTTTTGGGATAATGAAGATCGTTCGCATTTTCTGCCCCATCCATTCCTTGACTGGTTGCTAAGTGAAGATGGTGTGGGCGATCTGGGTTTCTTGTGCAATCTTTATAGCTGCTCTGGTGATAATATGCCTCAGCTGCCACAATCTCTCTACTAGTTACTGCGATGCTATCTGCATCTTCTCATGAAATTGCAATCCTGCAAATGTTATGTCCACTCTTAAGTCTATTGATTTTACCAAAGCTTCCTTTGTGTGTGAACCTTTTAGCAAACCAGACTTTTTGCAGAAAACACACCCCTTTACATAGTCCCGACTGATTCCTTCAGGTATAGGTAACCACCTTCTTCTGCCTTACATTTCAGAGTATCAATGTCTCTCTTCATAGTGAACATGCTTCGGCATTGTCTATGATAGGACAGTTCTGGAACATCCTGGTCATCTGGTAGCTGATGAAACACAATCCATACCTTGGCTGCACTCAACAAAGTTAGCCAAGATTCATGACTGATTGGTCTGGTTAGTTGTTCATCAGGACTTAATTTTGATGAATCTTGATGGATAATGCACTTATGGGACATTGGGCTGTTTTTTATCTGAATATTTTCATTCATACTCTGACAGAGTCAGCATTATGAAATCAAATGTACATTCAATGAGTAAAATTGAGATTAGACACTAACATCATTTATATTGATAAACTGTATGCTATCCGTGGTACACATATAATCATTGTGTAGGTTTAGAAACAGCTATGATATATACAAGTTACAACATAATTACAATGATTACAATACACATGGTGACAATAATTTTATAACCATAAACATTTTTGAGCACCATCACCATGAAACAAAAGTGCCTATGAGCATCGTCACCATGGACAATCACCACAGGTATTTTCACTTGACATCACCACGAAACTTCAGTGTCTTTGGGCACCACCATCATGAAACAAATGTTATTGAACACAGTCACCATGGACAATCTCCATAGATATTTTGCCCCCCAGTAGCTCAGCGGTATGTCTGCGGACTTACAACGCTAGAATCCGGGTTTCGATACCCGTGGTGGGCAGAGCACAGATAGGCCATTGTGTAGCTTTGTGCTTAACTTCAAAAAACAAAAAAACAAAACAAACCATAAATATTTTCACTTGAAATGACGTCTTTGGGCACCATCATGAAATATAAGTGTTTTTGAACACCATCATCATTAGAAATATTGTTGAAACCGTAATCACAATTATCTCTTCAAACCATTAGCTTCATTGTTTACTGATACCATCACCAAGAGTGCTTTGAAATTACCGTCTAGAGCCATCACTATTTCTACTGTTATCATGCACTAATACCTGAAGAAGAACAAAACATTATGTCAGGCATTGTGTAGTGTATTTCACATATTTGAATACAATATTATGATAGACATCTTTAAGTGAATGTATTTTTCACCTTCCACGCATGAAAACAAGACATCGTGTTTATGTTGTTGTATGGTTACGATATTCAAAATATATTCGTTCCTCATGTTTGGCAGATCATGACTGCCATCTTTATTTTTTGCATTTTTACGGGACAATAATAATCACTATGGATTTCCCATGATAGCACGGATAAAACATATAAAAAGACACTCCAATAACATTTCTATCTTGTATAGTTGTATAGATATGATATAATTCAATTTCTGTCTGTGTGTGGTGGTCATCTTGAATCTTTTCAATTTCTCTAGGAAAAAGTACTTCACTCCACCTAAATATAATTGCACGGATTTCATAGGCAAATATTAATAAAAAATTATATCCTGAAGAAAAAAAATATAATGGCTAAACTATAGCCAATATATTGTATTTGTATATAAATGCTCACTTCCAATCAATCACATAATGTTGTCTTTTCATTATATAGTTATTGGCCGCCATTTTGAATTTTTGGCAGACATAATGGATGTGAGCATTTTAACACTATTTTTAAGTTCACATATGAAAATATAGATTTAAAAAAGCATGTTAGTTGACCAAATAAATTTATTCAAGATTTCAGTTAAAACATCCGAGATTAGTAGATTTATGGCAGCCATCTTGGATTTTGGCGGCTATTTCGGATATAAATATGAAATTCAGATTTTCTTTGATCAAATATCTATTAGTTTAGTAACATCAGTAATTTTTATGGTAGTTATAAGTGTTTTCATAATGTTACTGACCGTGTTTGATCATAATCATATTTTTGAGCATTGCAAAAGTTTCATGGGAGGGGGGAGTCTATGTACGGGCCCATAAAATCTGAAAGCTACTCGATCCAGATCGTTATCATCCAGAAATGTTATCTAGGGATATATATATTTTTTAGAATGTCCATATGTTCATAGCAGCATTAGCCTTCTCCCCCCCCCTCCCAAAGTGGTAACCGTGAGTCCATTTTGGGGGTTCCGGCTTATACACCACTAGGTATCCATTTTCTTGAGATCAGGTCTAGTATATAAGCATACATTAGAAATTAAGTCAGTATTGTCCTAAGTATTTTTCAGAAAAGTATTTAAAAGTGATACCTACAAAATGATGTATATATACAAATAATTTAAAAGAACATAACTTATAGGTATTAACACTTTAATTAAATTTATGCCTTTTGCTGAGCCGTTAGTAATATAAGAAGCTCCTTTTCAGAATTAGTTTACACATCCTGCTGTATATTTTTTCAAAGGTGTAATTTATTACTTTACTTTTCCATTCAGCAAAATAGTATTATAAAATTTAACCCATGAATATTTTTCTCTACATACGTGAAACACGGATTATCTAATTATTTATTTTATTAGTGATTTTATATAGGGAAAATATTATACAATCACTAATATGTTTGAAAACATTCTCTTAGAGGGTCAAGTAGGAGCTGAGAACTATTTCAAAACAAAATTCAGCCAGTTTTTGATTCACTACCACATAAGATGCATTTGAGGTCGATTAGATAAGCGTAAGTAATAATAATAATATTAATTCTTTATTCTTTTAATTAATTCATGTTTATTAGGCTGAAAATTTTAAATCAGCTTGTCTTGTTTTTTTTTTTTCGATAGAAGCCTAGAATTAATGAAGTCATGATACGTTGTTAATTATCATATCATCACTAAATATAGTGATGACTACGATACAGGTATTTCAGTTTTGTTTTACTAAGAAATTATTGAAAATGTGCAGTGAGATGAAACTTCAAAGTTATGAAAAAACGAGTAGCTAGTAAATATCCTCGTTCACAGGAATGTTGGATTCTATCACACATTTGTTTTCACACTTGCAAGAAAAATTACAAAGTAAAGGTAAGAAATTAAATAAGGTTATGATGTGAAATTTCTTGCTTTCTTTTATTAATTTATTCGAATGTTCATCATATTTGAAATTTTGTCTTGACGAGAAGGTGTTTTTGTAGATACGCTGGAGCAAAATAAATAATAATTACTTTTTATTCACTGTCGTGTGAATGTCTGACAGGTACATATGTTGCAACTTTCTTACCAAAACATTACCAATATGTATATATATATATATATAACAATTATAATAAAATAGCACTGTATAATTTTAACTTGTTAGTCATAAAGGAACGTTCCTGGCTTTCTATATCTCCCGGACCAACAGACTGTGCTCAAGTTTTCCTAAACGGACATCGTACAAGTGGAGCATATCCTATCTGGATCATGTCATCCAAGACTGTGGAGAGTTTAAATGTTAACTATGATATGGATACTGGCGTGGACTGTAAGTATAGGAATTTCACTAATGCGTGGTAGAGTTATTTATAACTTTGTATTGACATTAATAATTTTGTTTCATTTTCTCCTATGTTCATGTTTATTTACATGAACAACACCTTAGTCCTTAGGCACACAATGGGCTAAACAGTTAGGCCAGAGATTCATATCGTTCGAGCATAGACAGACGTCCATAAATATGAGCTGGGATTCAGGGAGAAGATAACTAGTCAGAGGCATCTATCGTCTGAAGTAGCTACTATTAACTGAACAATTTGATTGTCACTTTCATAACGCACCTACAGTGAAAGTGCAAAGTGTGGTTAATAGCATCAGGTGTGGAACCCGTGGCTCTCGGATATTCAATTTCAAACTTTAACTTATTAAGCTATGCTAAAAATTAATACCTCGGATTCTCAGTTCCAAACGCTTACTTCTAGGCCACGCTAACAATTAATATTTCAGATCGCCAATTCTAAAAGCTAATTTATGGGCACGCCAACAATTAATACTTCGAATTCCCAGTTTCAAACGTTAAACTTATAAGCCAGGCTAACAATTAATACCTTGAATACCTAGTTCCAGACGATAAAGTATAAGCTACGCTAACAATTAATGTTTCAGAGCACCAATTTTAAAAGTTAACTTATATGCCACGCTAACAATTAATACCTCAAATCCTTTATTCTAAAAACTAACTTATATACCACACTAACAATTAACAGGATGTCTATATAGTCTCCTGCCAAGTCTGCGAAAAAGTTTATGTTGGTGAAACGGGTAGAATTTTAGATACCAGACTCGATGAACACACAAAAAAGGTGTTAAAAATGGTCAGCCAAATAACGCTAGTTTTCTACACATAATATAAGTTAATCATAAAATAAGCTAGAAATCAGCCAAGCTAATACATAGAACTACGAATTATGTCAAAAGAAGAATTCTGGAAAGTTTGTTAATCTAAATATTGCCAAACTTCAACACATCTGAAGGTCACTTTAAGTTGAACCTCATTCTGACGTCACATGCCGTTCAAGGAATTGTAACTTCCGTTATAAAATATGCAGTGTGTATGTGTGTGTGTGTCTTCCACAAACAAATGTTGGACTGAATAAAACATGTGAAATATCGAAACTAGTTCCCATTTAAATTTGGTATTGTTCCGTTAGTGTGGATTTAAACTTTATTGTAAACATGTTAGTAGGTTTATTCAGTGAGTACAAACCTATATTCTACAGGAGATATATTGATGATATGTTTGTGGTGTTCAATGATAAAGAACATTTTAGTAGGTTTACACAGTATATCAATACCTGCCATAATAATATCAGGTTCACAGTGGAAGAAGAGAATTAGTCAAATAGCCTTTTTTGGATACATATATAACTAATCAAAATGCCAAATTTAGTTATAGCCAATATCTTAAACTTTATAGCTTTATATCGATAAGTCTAAAATCCATTTTATAAAAAATCTTACTGTCTGGAGTCTATAAATTATCAGACAGTTTTGAATTGTTCCATCATGAGTGACAGAGAACCAAGTGGGTTGTTAAGTTAAATGCATACCCTAATGCCCCCCAGTGGCACAGCGGTATGTCTGCGGACTTACAACGCTACAAACCGGGTTTCGATACCCGTGGTGGGCAGAGCACAGATAGCCCTTGTGTAGCTTTGTGCTTAATTAAAAACAAATAAACAAGCATACCCTACTAGATTAATAAACAGAGTGGTTAATATTGTTGTAAATAAAATTAACACCTCCGATATTAAGAAAACTGGTGAATCAAAAACAATACTAATTATTGTTTTGCCATTCGTTGAAATATGTAATTTTGAAATCAGAAAAAAGTTGAGGGAATTTTTTACGATCGATTATCCTCAAGCTAAGTTGAGAACAATTTTTAAAACTCAATTGAAACTGAATAACCTTTTTCATATTTGATACTATAAATATATTTGATTGTGTTTAGCTTAATTTTGTGAATCTGACAAGTAACAAAATTCATTTCAAAAATATTTAATCCTCATAAAGATAATCAACGAACTTTGTAAATTATCTCCGACTACTTTCCAATTTTTTACGGTGATTATGTGGAACAAATGATATAATCTCTATAGATCTGTATCCATTTCGATACAAACAACACAAATAGATCGCCACCTCATAAGTAACAAACCTATTTAAAGATGTATTTTACAAGTGATGTCTTGAAATTCTTAAGAAACGATTCACAATTGATTAGACATAACAAAACGTACTCTTATAGATTTTTCTACCTTCTGTATAACGTACTTTCAGTGTAGATATACCACCAGCAAGAATAAAGGACCACTTAGATCATCAGTACTTAGTAGCCTGTTAAACAGTTTACAGATTATGTCAAGCAAAGAAGTTCACATTCATGATATACCCACAACATATAGACATTTAAATATTGAGCATCCACACATACATCTCACTAAGGTAAAAATCAGCTAATAGACCTTCTAGCTGAAATAAATCAATCATCTTCCTACCTGAATAATAAGAAAACTAGCTAAGAAACAGAAGTTATCCTCAGGAACTAGTACTTCTAAGACTAATGGGAAATTAAACATTAAAAAATAATCTATAAATACACACAGTTGCTATCTGAAAGAGCTTTCTTAGTATACTCAGAGAATCTGCCGACAGCATACGATAAGTACGGTACAGTAACTGGTGTGCTTAAAGCTCCATTAATATTCCATTAAGTACAGTTTTCAAAAACAATAAGCCCTAAGACTCCAATTGGCGTGAATAAAGCTCCATTAAAACTCACTATAATGGAAGTATTTATTCTACTGCATGCCATCTTAATATCGGAGAAATACTCAATCTATTTAAAACAAGAATATCAACTCCACACAATACTTCTATCGACAATACAATAGTGTTATTACATGTCAGAGAAGAAAACCACCACATACAGTGGATATATGTCAGAATGATATGAATCAAAACATTAAATAAGCTTTTCATAACCATTCATCTTAAAACTCTATAAGAATCAAACATTAAAGTCATCAAAACTTGGTTATCTCATTTTAAAAACGTAAAAACAATACTCGAATAGATCATTAATAGTCAAAAGGCGATTGTAGAATATATTATTCCTTGCTTCGTTTCTTGATGTCTCGGGTCCGAATCTCAATAACAGTACTTTTTAGCAAATTCACAAATAAATTAATAGACCAGATGATTATAGACCATTATTTCATTTTATTGTCTTCAGTAATAAACGGTTTCGTATTAACCTATAGTTAAAAAGTCGATTTCTAAGTTGAAAAAAAAAAGATTTTGTCTTGTACATAATCTAATACAAACATATTTATCTGTCATCGTATAAAAATTGAGAAATTATAACTATAATTGTATATGTAAAATGGGTAAAAAAAATTCTTTAAGTCTGTATATGTTTGTGGTATATTTGCATAGTTACAAATAGGAACGTATGCATTTTTCATGTTCAGAAATAAAGTATAACTCAAACCTTAAAAACCATGTTTAATAGTTTGTTTGTAGTTAAGCACAAAGCTACTCAATGTGTCATCTGTGCTCTGCCCACCACGAGCATTGAAACCCAGTTTGTAGCAGTGTAAATACGAAGACATACCACTGGGGGTCAAAGATTTAATAGACTTAAATATTAATTAAGTACAGACAATACGTATGCATTCAAATTATATTCGACAAATATTAAAACTATAAGATCTTAATCTAACTTGTTAAACCTTTTTTTTTCCCAAGTCTTAGTAATTTGATAAGTCAATATTTATAAGGGGCTATGTCTCACGCAACAGCCTCTCTTTAAGGAAATTAGCTCTGATTCATCTCCACCTGACAGTCGACTGGCTATGTATTACTACATGTTTGTATTTTTGTGTAGCGAATAACAAACGAATCACTAGGTTTTTCGTTTCTATTTGTAAATAAATTGAAACAGATTAGTTATTTTGAGCCAATAGGTACTATGGAAAAGCACACAGTTTTGTAAACTTTGAATACGTGGTAGTTACTCTCACTGTTTCTCAGAACAATATATAATGAGCAGATGTATCTACAATTTAATTAAACCTAGTATTTTGCGTTCCTATTTGCAAGTGGCTAGAAGTAATGCCGTTGATAAAGCATAAAATGGTATATGTTGAACACTTATTTAATTTAGTAAAAATTATTCACATATATTAGAAAAGTGTATTTGAAAACTTCACAATTTATCATTATTAATATTTCGCTTTGATAATCTTTATATTATTATATTCATACAGAATATAAAGAGTTTAATAACTTTTGTATAAATTTGGACCTAATGTAAGTTACATTTTGCAAACAGCCCTTCTCAGTGCTGTATTGATAACAAAATATTGTAAATGAAAGCCATTCTATTAGATAAGAAAATGGAATTGATAATATTTTTGGGGGGTATACTTGACAATATTGTCTTTAGTTAGAGTAAAATGTTTGTGTATGATTTATAGTGTTAGAATAATTTTAAGTGTGAATTTGTTTTTCAAGTTAAAACTAGCATGTGGATGAGCACGTGTTTAAACCATGAAGTATAGTATACTTAAGTGAAACAAAATGAAAGATTATTTTGTATGCTTGTATACGAATCGATAAATATATGTTTAAATGAAATTACTTGTTACAGTTTTGAACATGACACTTCCTAATTGGTAATCAAGATATCTTTAGTACTGAGCGATTAATCAATATTTTGATTAGGTTCAGTTTATCAAAATTTAGATCAAAATCGAATTTATATGATTACTTAATACCTACATTTCGAACTCATAAATAGAGAAAAATTTTAAACTTTGGCCAGGGCTGATAATGAAAAGGAGTGAAAAATAAAATCTATTAATGGATGAACTTAAGCCGGTGTTAAATGAACAAAACAGTGCAGTCACCTTTTATATTCCGATTCGATTAGTATACAAAACTGAGCGTCGTTTTTGTGCTCACTAAAAAATAGAAACTTAA